CTGCAAGGGGACAGGGAAATGGGTTACTTGCTGAGAGGCGCCCCCTCCACGCATGCTGCATGTGCACTAAGGCACAGACTCAGGACTGCGCGCGCGTGGCTGTTACCTCCTCTGTGGCACGTGATGGCATGTGAAAGCGACGATTACTCCTAATCTATCATCGGAATGGAGGAGAGCCGAAGAGAGAGGAGACTCCATGGATTACAAGAAAGGCTGTGCACCTGGTCGCTGGTCTAGGGCCTACGTGGAGCGGACAGCGTCGCCCACGCATGTGCACGCACACACGCACCATGCACACTCACACACTCGGCTTTCCTTCCCCGCCAACGCCGCTAGCAGGGATTTATGGGGAGCTGGCAACGGCGACACACGCCCGCTCCTGCCAGCTCCCGATTTATCCCGGTGGCCCCTTTCCGTCTAGCATATTGCCCGAGCGCACACCGGGCGGAGGGGCACTTACTCTTGCAAAGCTTTAATAATCTGCGAGGAGCTGGCGACCCGGCGATGAAGCATGCCGGCACTGCCAGCGAGCTGCAATCCACCAGCCTCGCGAAATTGCCGGCCACAAATAGTAATTAATCTTTTTATCCCTCAAATTGCAATTTTGACTATGAACTGTGCGCGCTCATAAATCAGGCCCCCGGGCCCACGCGCGAGTCGGCCAGTCTGTCCGGCGGCGGCCCGCCGCGTTTCACCGGCGGCGGCAGGCTTTCTGACGGCGCGGCCCGACGCCTGCAGAGCAGAGGAGCCCGCAGGCCGGCCATGGAGGCGCGAAGATGGAAATACTTATTAGAGTACATTACTTCTCGATGTACATATCGTTTTCGGCGGAGTCACTCGGCGGCGCGCAGCGAGACATAAATCAGGGGCTTTTCTGAGACTAATAAGGCCCGCCGCCGGTCTATTCATTACTCAGCCGCTATCTGGACCATCACTCATTAGTCAGCATGTAATGTGATGATTAACGCCCGCCACGCAGCGGGGCTGCAGAGCGCGTGCATGTGTGCATGCGTGCCCAGCGCCCGGGCAGCAAGGTGAGGGGCCGCCTCTGGGAGGGCGCCCCCCAAATAATGGGCCACCCTTGTCCTGGGCCACAGCCAAGCCTGGCCAAAGCACGCACACACGCATGCACGCTCCATAAGGTGGTGGCAGTGGAGGGCCACAAGTGAGCTGACATTCTATCATGGGTCCCGGAGACACGGGTTCCCTGGGAATGTGAAGTAAGACATTTTCTTGTTAATAAAGCATTGATCCGACGTATTGATTGTACATGACATGGCTTTTGCCGGGATTGTACCCTCTTTCCCCCTCTCCTGGCACAGAGTGCCGCTCTCCCACACGCCCCGACGCCCGTGACATGGCAAAAATTCCCAACTCCCTGTGATGTAAATTCTCCACGTGTAAGGACCACTTCATAATCAGACCATTAATCATCGGAGGCTGCCAGCGTCAACTGGGGGGGCAATTTGTCATGTCTCTGCCGGGGCCCTGGCAAGGGTGTCAGACACAGTCGGGCTGGGCTGCTGGGAGCTGGGCCGTCCTCTGCCCAGCCCCGCAGAGAGAGACTGTCCCAGAAGGATGAGACGGGGCCTTCTGGTTGGGGGGCGGGGGGAGGGGCGAGACGAGGGTGGAGGTGGGGACAGGCCCCTGGTGGAGCTGCTCCTAGCACGCCAGGGCCACTCCTCTCACCCAGCTAATCACCCCGAGTGCCGGACTTAATGAACCTGGCCTGATGAAAGCTGATCAGAAAAGATAGATGATCAGCCGCTATTGATTTCATGCAAATAGGCCCAAAAGGCGAAGGAGGCGGCCTGCGTGCAAGCTTCCAGCGGCTTTACGCCTCGTAATAGCTGCACCCTTGCTGCCTGCCAGGGGTGCTCCGGGGATCCTCTCGGAGTCCACACTCTCCTTCCAGGTCCCAAGTTTGGGGGTGCAGTGCGAAGACCGACGAGAGTACCCTCCATCCCTCGCTTCACCTGGACGGCGCGGTCGCCCGGAGCAGAGGGTCTCTCCCGTTCCCACGACGACAACACTAGACGGGTCCAGGTCTGGGAGACCAGCTGGGCTGCCGCCCCAGGACCCAACCCCAGCTGGCAATTCCACTTCCAGAAGCCCAGTGGGTTTCCGTGTGAGAACAGGAAGGCAGGGAATCTTCTTTTAAAGTGACAGGAGAAAGGGCACCTGTCGGAGGTTCTCCCAAGGTTCGGGAATGAGGTGGGGTCCTCTTCTCTGTCTGCTGTGCTTCCTAGAGTGGAGGAGCCCTTGCCCATCCTGCAGCCACAATCCCAGGGCCACCATCCAGCCAAAGCCCTCCACAGGCACAGCACCTCCCTGGCCCTGCCACCGCGCTCCAGGGCCAACCCAGGAGTCTCCCGGAGGAGTGGCTGCCGGCCCGGCCGGCAGCAGCAGGAGTTGGGCTGGTCACACATCCAATCAATGCTCTGAGTGTCCAGTTTACAAGCCGGGAGCCAGCCGGAGCCTCGGCACGTCCGGGCCCTGCGCCCCGCGCCAGCCAATCAATAGCACTTTCCTGTTTTAGAACTGGGTAATTATGAGGGGAGAGATTGTCTGACCTTTCACCTGCACTGCATTACTTTGCTGATATTAAGATAAATTGCCTGATTTTGGGTAAACATATGCTGCAATTCAAACTGTCAACACTGGTTTGCTCAGGGATAATTTGTATTGATCTCCCAGCGTCTTCCCAATTTTGCTTACTGACCTCGTGGATAATTAGAGAGGCAGCCTCCGGTGAGCGGAGTCAGGGATGAAGAAGAAATATGAAGAGGAATCAAGCAGATTTGTTTTATGTTAATATTTGTCGGTCTCCCTGCCGCCGCCCGCCCTCATATCTGTCAGCATCAGGAGAACCATAAATTAATGGCTTGGGTTCCTGAGCAATTTATTCCGGGGGATTATTTAGAAGCGTGCTTCGTCTCCCAGCCAGTGTCACTGGGTTAAATGAATCTAAACTCGGTCTTCAGCACAGCAAGACCAGCGTTGTTTTCTGCCGAAGGGCGAGCGAGATCAAGAAAGAGATCAGAAACAAAACCCAGACAAGCCCACCCCACCCCAAAAGAAAGCACCACCCCTTTCCTTCAACCCAGCTCCCCGCCACCCGGGCTCCCAGCCTCCTCCCAGCCCAACTTAAAATAAAGCCCCACAGAAGTAATTAGTGGGCCTGCTTTGCTCTGAATTCAAATTCCGCTCAGCTGGGCCGCGGCGGTGAATAAAAGAGATGAATGTATGGGCAAAATTATATCATTTAAGATATGTCAGATTACAAGGCTGTTGTATCAAAAGTCATAAAACAAATCTCCCTGGTGAAATATCTCTTTATTAACCGCGCCATACGATATTAACATTCCTCATTTACTGGAGGGGCTTTTATCTGTCTCAAATACATTATTCGTCCTTTTAGAGATAAACTGTATTAATATCCATTTGAGTAGGCTACCGCGGCCTAATGCATAGTAATTTTTGTTGGAGAGCTTTTATTCTAGAATAAGAAAATTACACAGCAATAAACCGCGAGTGAGTCAGAAGCTAGGAGAGCCGGGAACCGCGTTCCTTGCCAAACGAGGTAGCACTCCGACGGCCGGCAAAACGGCCAACTCCCCGACTATCACGCCCAGGCCAGCATCCAGTTTGGGTTCGGTTCAAGTAGGACCTGACCCAGGGACCGTGGCCCTTACATGCTAGGGCGGACAGCCGCAAGGCCAGAGGCCACCTCGCTGTGTCTCCCAGGGACCTGGAGTTAATCCCTTCACTTTGCATGCGTCAAACTCTGAAAGGAAGCGGGAGTCTAACCATTCCCACCTTGCCCCTGTGCTGGGGGATTCATCATCCCACAACGGATAACATTTTCACCGTCTGTGATGTCAGTTCAGGTTGGGCCTTCCAGTGCTAATGTGCCGGTGGGAAGTGCACCAGAGCTGGGTGGCTGCAAGGGCTGGGAGCTCGAGGCTGCCTGCTGCAATTAGCAGCCTTCCGGCAGGCAGTGGGGCATGGGGGGCCCTTCCTTGTTTCCATTTTCATCTCAAGAGCCTAACCCCCTTTGTCAGCCAGCCCTGCCCCGAGGTTGCCGCTCCTCTGAAGACCCCAAAATGCAGAGAATCATTTGATTGTACTGGAATAGCAAGTCCATTAAGGTAGGAGCCTGCTTAAATGGATAGGACCTCACCCTAGAAGCCCTGGGTTGGGTGCACGGGAGGAAAAAAAGCCCAGGGTGGGAAATAAATGCATACATAGATAAATACATGTAGGTGTGTGTGTACGTGTATTATGTGTGGGCGTGCACGTGGGCGTGTGCACGTGTTGGAGGCCGGCGTGGGGATTTGGGCGTAGAACTACATCTGGTGCAAGGAAAACCCATTAGCCTCCAGCTTAGCTCGAGTGTTTTCTCTGGGCAGCTTCTGCGTACCTGAGGGGTGCTTCCCAGAAGCTGCCCCCTGCAGGTGCCTGGCTGCTGCTGCTTCCAAGGCCACCTATTAGGGGAGCTCCCAGCCCCCTAAGGCCCAAGGGTGCCCTGTGAACCATGAGCCTCAGTGTCTGGTGAAGCTTAACTGTGGGCTCAACCTCCATCTGCCCATGCCAGGGTGTGCTGTGGGCGCTCCGTGCCAGCGAGCAGCCCAGCAGCTGTGCATCCAGAGCCGAATCACTGGCCGCGTGATGCACAGGTGAGAGGGGTGGGGCGAGCCCTGTCTCTGCCAGGGGGCCAAGGCAGAGACAAGGTCTTATCGGGTAAGGCCCCGTTTCCCTTCTGCCTGTAAAACCCTGCCCAGCATCCTACAAACAGGATGTCATTCATTTGTTCCCTCCCAGCTGCTGGCTGCAGCCGTCCAAGGACTTCCAGCCCCATTTCAATGATGATCATCTTCCTGTAACTTCCCAAGCATGCATTCGTCATAACGCGGTAATTTCCCTGCTACAAACAGAACCTCCTAACGAGGCTGCTTTCTACATTAGCAGCCTAAGTGCCTCCCATGGCAGCTGCAGCC